CTCCCGGAGAGGCCCCGCGACTGCGTCCGGGTGGGGAGACTGGGGAGGGGGGAGCTCGATACTCGTCGAGCGGGTCATCGGCTGCCCTGCCGGGGCCCTCGGGCCGGCGGCGGCGGCGGCGGCGGTGGTGGCGGCAGCTGGTCATTGTTCCAGCACAAAGAGCCGAGGCGCCGCGCCCGCCCGCCCCTCCCCTCCCCCTCCGCCCCTCTAGACCAGGCTGCCCTCCCCAGTCCCCAGCTTCCCAGTCCGGGAGGAGGCCGAGGGTCAGCCGTCCCTCTCCGCTGGCCGGCTCCCGGGCACAAGTTGAGGGACTGGCTCGGTGGCTGGCTGTCCCACCCCCAGCAGGCTGGAGGTCACACGCTAGGATTTTTTTCAGAAGCGGCGCCACCTGGCGGCTCCTTCGGCACCTTCTCAGCCACCACCAGCCCCCCCCCCCAACCTCCAGAGCCCCCCACCAACCCCACTCCCTTCCCCGGCGCAGCGAGCCCAGGCTTGCCCCTGGCGTGGCTCCAGGCTCCCTCGCCTAACCTCGGGGTCATCGGCTCTGAGAAAGGTCGCTGCTCAAAGTGGGGGGGGGCGCACCTGGCCCCCCCAGTAATCGCAAGAATGAACGGTTCAAACCTACACGGGCTCCGTCCCCAGCAGACACCCCAGTGTCTTTCTCAGGGTCACACATGTTTTTACCCTCTCCAAAACAACAGTCTCAACACCCACACGACCTTTCCCACATTCTGTCTCAGGCAGCCACAATCACGGTCTCATCCATCACGTGGTTCCATATTCCTTCATTCCGTAATCCTTCGGGCCAACTCACAGAAGGCTCGGCGTTTCGTGCCTGCCCTGCAACTTCACAAGTCCCTTGCATCCAGTCCCAATCTTAAAATACACCGAGTCTCCCAACCGACCCTCTCCCGCGCAGTGACGGCCGTGCTTGGCCACGCAGACAACTTCTGACATCACATTCACAAACTACCCACTTGCCCTGAGGGGTCTCTGTGACCTGCTCGGGTCAGCTGACATCCACATCCTCTGGCAAGGCCACCCTCCCTTCTCTGCTGCCCCCCCAACCCTCCCCCCCCCACCTCGCAGGGCCAAGGCCTGCCAGAACTGGGCTCAGCCCCAGGAAGAAGCATCCCCCCCTCTTCCAGGCCACAGCCTGGCCGGCTCTCAGCTCTATTTTTAGCTCCATGGAAAGGGTTGTTTTTCTTTCTTTTTCCCTGGAAAGGGAAACACAGCCCAGCCACCCTCAGGCTCACTCCAGCCCCTCAGCTTCGTAAGGGCAGACTGAACCCCTCTCCCCGATGGAGACCCCCTCCTCTGGCCTTGCCCTGATCCCTGCCTCCCGGGGCACCGAGAGCCTCCTCCTCCCCTTTCTGGCTGCCTGCCCAGAAGCTCAGGCAGCAGCTGGGCTCAGCGTGTGGCGGGGTGAGGGGTGGGGGGTAAGGGGGGGCCGGCGGGGGGGGGAGAGGCCTGGGGCAGCAGCCCCCTCCTTCGTTTTCCGAGAGAGAGGGATCTGGTCCTTCTTCCTCCTAGGGAAGGCAAACTCCCCTCGGGGGTTAAGGACATATTTACTCTTAGGCACTCTCCGTGGCGAGGGGAGACTGTTGCTCTCGCATGGGTGGGCTTTTTGTGCTCAGTCCTGCAAGTCGGTGGTGAAGGGCAGAGGACCTATAGACAGCTGCTCCCGGAGCTGAGGGTGGGAGACCCAGGCAGCTGTCAGGGGCCATCAAGGTACTCTTCGGATACCTTTCAAGGATGCTGGCTCCGAGAATGTGTCACCGAGCAGGAAGGCAAGGAGTCCAAGCAACCCCACCCCGCCCAATACTCTCCCGGCCTCCTGAGCCACCCAAGCCCCCAGGGGCGCTGAGCTCCCATTCTGGGTGAGAGAGTTGATCATCATCCCAGGTGGAGTATGGAATAAAGCCCCGTACAGGGAAGCAAGCATGCCGGGACTGGGGGAGAAGTGGACGAGAGAGTATCCCCGCCTAGACAGGGTTAGGGGGGCACTGCCCACCGGGCTGCGAAGCAGTCACGTGCTCATCGCCTGTTTACGCCTTGGTCTTCACCTGCAGGCAAGCGGCCGGGAAGCAGGAACCGCCTGATGCGACAAACCCCGCCCGCCCCCGCCGACAGTCTCAGGGCGGCCCCTTTCCCTCGGCCCCGGGCAGAACAACTCAGCGTCCATCTCTCCCGGGGTCGCGCGGGCCGGTGGCACTGCCTCTGGGACTGCTAGGGTACCTCGCTCTGCTTGTCCCTCCCTGAGCGCACGTGTGTTCGTGTCCTGAGCGAATGCATGGGTCGGTGCATGGGTGTGTGTTGGTGCGTCTGTAAGTTTCCCTGTCCCTTTGCTATTCAGGCTTTGCCTGCGCTCCATAGAGTGCGGACCCCTTCCTCATCCCAATCCCGTTTCTCAAGACACGGAAAGTTCTCTCCAGAGCGAGCATGTGCGGAGGCCGGAGTTCCTGCACCCCGTCCGCCCACCACTCACCCAGCGTCACCTGCGCCGCGGCTCCCTCTGTGGCCGGGCTCCGACTCCAGCGTGCCTACTTCCTCGCCGCGATAGACCTCTGGCTCCCCAGCCCTCTCGGGGCTCCGGGCTCCGCGCTCCCGGCTCCCGGCTGCCGGCTCCCGCCAGGCCGGACCTGGAAGAGTGGGGCGGGGCGGCTGAAGCCGCGCCCCCCCCACCCAGAGAGGGGAGTGGTCTGCCCCGCACCCTCGAACAGCCAACCCAGTACCACCCCAAAAGTAGCCCGACCCAGTACCCAGCCCCAAAGTAGGCTGACGGTGGTCTACGCTCTGGCCTGTTGGCTGCACAGCGTACCGACTTTTGACCTAGGGGGAGGGCAGATATGACCGACGGCTAAGCTACCTGGCTGCCTTACTAAGGGCCTATAAATCCGGTCCACTCTGCCCAGAGCCAGAAGAGGGAAAATCCCTGTGAAGCAGACAAAGAACTCTCGAGTTTCATAACCCCCACCACACACACACACACACACACACACACACACACTCGCGCGCACACACTGGGACTGTTCTAGCAGAACTAGTACCGCCCCATTCCCTGGAGTAGTTATCAGCCCAGGTGAGAAGCTGTAGTCCTGGTCCCCCATAGGGCAAGGCTAGGCTTCCCTTAGACTCATAAAGTCCCACCCACAGGCCCAAACAGGAAGTTGGCCTGTATTTTAGGGAGGTGCCGAGGGCTCCCTTCCTCCCTGGCATACCAGGTACATTGTGGAAGGGCTTAAGTTTACAGCTACCTGAACCATACCCACTGCCTGAGCAGTTGGGCCACAGGAGACCAAGGTGAGTTTGGTCTCTTCTCAAATCCACCGCAGTAACAGCTACTGAAGACCTAAAGTAAAGCTGCCTCCTCACAGCCCTGTGCGACACAGTGTCGGTCTGAAAACAGGGCTACAGATCCAATTTGACCCTGCTGGGCCAGACCTTTCCAGGAGGTCTCTGGGACATTAAGTCAGCTGAACACAGAATTACATGGTTCATCCCAGGTGATTTGCCTCAAGCCACTCCTTTGAGTATGTGGATAGAAAGTGCCTCCTGGGAACTTCATATGCAGGCTGCGGGGACCGACCTCTTCCTGCCTTCTAGGCTCCAATGGCTCCTGAACACACTCCGTGCTGGATCTTGCCGTGGGGAGTTTTCGGCAGGTATGGAGTGGAATGTGTTTGTGTACCGGGTGTTTGTTTCCCTCCTCCTGCTCATTCTGGTTTGTGCTGTGTGGGGGTGTCTGCTAGGAGGGTGGGGCAGGACAAACAGCGAATGTGCACGGTTTCTCTGGGCTGACGGTACAGCCCGCACTGGAAACTCTGGAGGGCTCCCTGAGAACACATCAGGCATTCTAGGGAGAGTAGAATATGGAGTCCATGCCCTTATAGGTAGGAATGGTCTCGTTCTGTACATCTGGAAGGCATGGCTGACTTAAATATTTCAGACCCTGGATGAGGCCCAGAGCAGCCAACTGCTGGGAATGATTACTGCAGGATGAGAGGCCCGGCTCCAGCCAGTCTGGAAGAGACCCCCAAGAAGGCAGACCCTGGAGGAGCTACCCCCACCCCTAGGTTCTTCCCAACAACAGCTTTGCAAAAATTCGCTTCAGCTCTTTATGGCTAGAGTTCTCAGAAACCCCGGACTCTTCCCTCTGGTTCTAAAAGCTTCCTCTTGGGTTGACTTGAAAGATTACTCTTCCTCCTGGGAGTAAAAAAACCTCCCCTATACCTGAAGCAGAGGCTTCCCAGCACCCCCAATCTGAACATCTTGAAGTTGGTCCTTTAGAGTATCAGAGGAAGTGAGATAAAAAGGTCATTAGCAATATGCCTGGCAGTCTGGGGTCATTTCTTTTACAGTCGCCTGTAGTGCTTGTTAAACCGAGGCATCCATGTCCCATGTCAGACTCCAGAACTGGGAACATGTAAAGCGGGGAGAGAGAGGGCCCCTAAGCTCTGCATTTTTAACAAATCCCCAGGAGTCCTAGCACAGGGAGAATACCAGAAGTAAACGGATGAGGTAGAGGGTTACAGATAAGAATAAACTGATTGTATTTTTGAGACAAGGTTTTGAGTAGCCCAGGCTGGCCTTGAACTGTGTAGTTCAGGATTTTTTTTTTTTTTTTTTTTTTTTTGGTTTTTCGAGACAGGGTTTCTCTGTGCAGCTTTGCGCCTTTTCCTGGAACTCACTTGGTAGCCCAGGCTGGCCTTGAACTCACAGAGATCCGCCTGGCTCAGCCTCCCGAGTGCTGGGATTTAAAGGCGTGCGTCACCACCGCCCGGCAGTTCAGGATATCTTTGAACTCCTCCCTGCCTCCTACCTCCCAGGTGCAGGCATTAAAGGCACTCACCACCACACCCAGTAGGGCTGATTCTCGAGTCTACATTGAGAATGTGAATGGCTCACCTCCCAGGGGAAAGAGGGACAGCTGGTCAGACAAGGCCTGGGTGTGTGGCCCAGTGACCCACACCTGTCAGGAATAAGCACACCACCCCGTCTCCCTATGCCAAGGGAAGGGCTACGTTTAGTGGGTGGGATGTGGAGACCTTGTACTTCTCCCTGCTATCTGAGGGGTTGAAAGTGGGAAGTGAAAGACTAAAGAGGGGAAAAGGATCCATTTACTCCCAAGTCTGAGGGCAAACCCAGCTAGTGTGGGGAGACATCTGGTGGACAAATCAGAAAAAGCACAGGAACAAAGGCAACTAAGATGTTTCATTCAAACCGGAGAGGGCTCAGAGTCCCAGCTCCAGCTGTCAGAGGCAGCATACAATGGAGTCAGTATCCAGCGGGCAGGCACTGTGGGCTCACAGCTGCTTTCCATGGCTCTCTGGCGATGCAATCTGGGGGAGGAAGCGCTCATCTTTGAGGCCCTGAGAGTACAGGGCTAAGCACCGAGGATTGATTCCAACAGGACAGCTACCTTATGCCTGGCTCTACACAGCAGAGTGGCGTAGTGCCTGGTCTACTTTGTCTCTGAATGCCTAAGTGCTGGAGTTTCAGCACGAAGCCTCTTGGTCTATGACAGGCTCAGGGGCTTGGCCTGTCTGACCTGCTCATTCCCACCTCAGCTTTTAGTCTGCCTCTCTGCCTAGACCCCTTTCCCAGAGGTTCACAAGGCCCCCTCCTGGTTCTCACATGCACTCTGCTCATACACCTTTTTAGACTGATTAATGAAAATCAGTCTGTGAGCAGTCTAACATTCTTCACTTTGACTTATTCCTTTCACCAAAATGCTGGTTCTTTGGAAACAGATATTGTCTTTTCAGTGCCCTATATACATACATATATATGTATACACACACACATATATACATATACACACATATATATATATATATGAAAACCCAGCATACAGGCGGTCCTCAATAGCTGCTGGGTTCCTCACCCTGGAACCCAGCCCAGGACTATATGGAAGAGGAGCCCTAGTGGACAGCCAGGCGTCTGTGTTAGCTTGGTCCATCAGGCTCACTGTAGCCAGCAGCTAAGCTCTGCTTTCACCTGGAGGACTTGGAGGAATCTGACTGGTTGGGACTGGCATCCTGGCCTGAGCAAGTCTCAGAGTTCTGGTGCCCTGCACCTCTTTTGCCAGAAGAGGACTTTTTGGCCACCAGTCCGTTGTCATCCTTGATCTTCTTGAGTCGGGCTTTGCTCTTCGGTGGGATGGAGAAGGTAAGGGAACTCTTGTTGAACTCAAGTGGGAAGACACCTACATCTCCATCAAAGCGGTTCTTGGATACCTGCAGGTACCGTTTTCCGGGCCCAGTCACCAGCTTCCTATCCTGAAGGATGAGAACATTGTCTGCTTCTTGGCTTGCCTGGGGGGGGGGG